GAAAGAAAGTAAAAGAAAGGAAAAAGTGCAAGCAATCAAGAAAATGAAAACAAGAAAATCAAGCGGGATTTTTTATAGTACAGCCTTTCCCTTCTAACAGTACAACCTTTCTGTTAGAAGGGAAAGGTTGTACTATAAAAAATACCGCTAACAGTACAACCTTTCCCTTCCCCACCCCCCTTCCCGGAATCCAGACCTAGTAACTGCTCACGAGATCAGATCTATCCGGCAAGCTCTATGAATTGAACTGCCGTTAATTTTACCCCCCAAAATTTAAACAGAAAAATTTGCAGGACTAAATCCCAGTATTGTAAACATTCTGTAATAAATCAAAACACAGTTCTTTTATTTTCTGACATTCCCTCACTACACGAAGAACCCACTTTGGCACCATTCGTAAAACTGGAGCGAATTTGAAGAATGCTTCCAAAAAAGTCCAAAAATTAAGAAAACATTTTTTTTCCCATTTTATTATAAACTGACAACTTTTAGTTTTTACACCTTTTTTGCTTAAACACTGCGCTCTTTCATGCCAAATCTCACAACCCATGGCTTAATTTTTTGAAGTTATTTTAACACAGCTAAAATATGAGGAAGACTACCAATGCAGTAGGAAAAAATTTATGCAAATTTATGTGGATGAGAGAGGCGCAAAACCAAAAAAGAATAGAGAAATTGCCAGTTATATCAAGAATACTAAGAATGTTCAGACTATCAATGTGAATATATCCCTTCCGCACGCAGAGCTTAGCTATGCTAGGCCCTTCGATCCTAAGCTGCCTATCTTCGGTAAGTAGCGGAGAATTTGCCGATTATAATGAAATAATACATTGAAAAAGAAAATTATACGTAAACGAATCTGAAATTCCCAAGCAAAAACCATAATGGTTGATCATTTTTCACAGAAACTCGACAAAACAGGCTGGGAAAAACCAACTAGAAGTTGTTGAATTGTTCAGAAAATGTGATACCTTTGGTTTGAGGATCTCGTCAACAGCATCCTGGACGCTTGTCTCGAATATTTGCGCCTTTGATAGTTTCTTCTCCCAGTGCGCAGCGAGCCAAATTCTCGCCAATGGGCCTTTCTTGGATAAAACAAACTGCGCATAAAACATGGCAGCTGAAAAAAAAAAAAAAAAAACTTTTATCATTTATTAAGCGGGCAATCCGGCAGAGCAATTCGTAATTCACGCAAAACAGGTTCTCATGATTTGCCTGTGGATCCAATTCCAATTATGAGGAAAAATTGGTATTTTTCTGTACACAAAAAGCCCAGTTCAATGTAACTCTAGTCTCTTCGGCTCAAAATTTCCTCTAAGTTTTCAGCGTCCAGTCTTATTTTTCTGGCTGAATTCTACATCCCTTCGCCTAAATTTGCCCTCCGTTTGGCGGGCTTCTCAGCGAAAATCAGGCTAGATCTGATTAAATTTATCCTAACCCACCCAATCTGCCAGGATTCCTACATCACCGGATATCTTTTGTAAAATTTCCTACAAAATTTTGACATGAAATCAAGCTCTGGCAATTTTTGCGAAGGAAAAAAGGTAGATTCCTTCCTAGCGGTAATTCAGTGCTTAAAGGAAGAGATGATAGCGTAATAGACGCTAAATTAGAATAAACCCAACGGTAACAGAAAGATCAATGTTTAAACAAATTGCAAACTAAACAAAATATGAGTAATTTAACGGAAACAATGCGTACAGACATACACGCACACACACACGTACACACAAATGCACACGCGCAAACACACACATACACACAGATGCACATACATACACACAAAATACACGCACACACACACACACACACACACACACACACACAAAATACACACACATACACATACACTATATAAACACGTACACATGCACACATACACTATATAAACACACACACATGCGCATACACACATACACATACATATACACACACACTACACGCACACTATATACACACAAACACATAGAGCGCACCACGCG